TATGTGTGTGTGCGTGCATGTGTTTGTATGAGTGTGCGTGTGCAGTTAAAATGATGTCTGTTTATATACTGTTTTATCAAAGTGTGTGTGTGTGTGCGCGTGTATGTGTGTGTGTATGTGTGTGTGTGTGTGTGTGTGTGTGTGTGTGTGTTGTGTGTGTGTTGTTAAAATGCTGTCTGTTTATATACTGCTTTATCAAAGCTAGTGAAAACTCCTTAACAAGATGTGGGTATAAAGCCCTCACAACTCTGCATGGTTATCTTTTAACATCTGTCTCCCGTAGGAAGGAGCTTAGTGGGGGGGGGGGACTTGAAAATGTGAATATTCCCCACACAACCCATTTTCAAATATAAAACAAAGCAGATTCGATCCTAGGTTATTCGCACCATAGCCCACCATGTTACCAACTAAGTTGCTAAAGCCATTAAAAATACATATAAAGTAAATCTCGTGCTATCTTAAATGAAATGGGTGCATGCGTATGAATAGTACAATTTTGCTGTCCATTTTGTCATAGAGTTAGATCTAGTGTCCTGTGGAAAAAAAAAGTTCTACCGGGTCTCAGTTATGTTCCATGTATTGATGCAGATCACAATACCTGTGGTACAGTGCAGGTCTAACAGATTACAGTACCGGGTACAGGACAGGTCTACATGAGCTATCCGTTTTTAAAACTAAGTTAAAATGGTCTTTTGTGCCTCATCATGGATACGCTCATGTTGCCCCCCCCTCCCCCGAGAAAGGAGACCCCCGGCATGCGTAGAAAGTGAAGTAAGTTCCCCACTGAGGTCTCACTTAGACCTTTACTCAGTTTCTCACCTTGTCCGTTGGATAGGCCTAGCCAGAGGGCCAGGCACAGCGCTGCCCCCACGCACCATTTCATGGTGTTCTAGTCAGAGGGCCTGGGGACAGAGGGAGGAGGTCGTGGTTGTAGGATACTTTAGGTCATGGTTGTAGGTCATGGTTGTATGATAATTTAGGTCATGGTTGTAGGTCATGGTTGCATTGCAGGATAATTTAGGTCATGGTTGTAGGTCATGGTTGTATTGTAGGATAATTTAGGTCATGGTTGTAGGTCATGGTTGTATTGTAGGATAATTTAGGTCATGGTTGTATTGTAGGATAATTTAGGTCATGGTTGTAGGTCATGGTTGTAGGATACTTTAGGTCATGGTTGTAAGATAATTTGGGTCATGGTTCTAGGATACTTTGTTTGATTCAGGAAAGAGAAACAATAACGGCCCTGTAGTGTAGTAGAAAAAAAATTCAGACACACAAAAGTAACAGAGGGAAAGAAAAGAAGTAAGATTTATCAGGTGCACCCTCCCCTCGTCCAACCGCTCATGTTGTGGGATGGGACTGGTCAATATAAAGAGACTTGTGGTAGAACCAGACGCCCAAGCAATATTTGAATGTGATGTTTAAAGAGTGAAAGTCAGGTTTTGTTGGTTGTCGATGTGATTTTTGGTCGGGTTTTTTTAATTAAAAATTTTTTTTCCTTCAAAGTCACATTTTGTCTAATAAGCTTAGTTTATTTTCTGGTTTCCTAGATTCCCCCCCTTTTTAAGTATTATTATTTTTTGTTTGTTTTGTTATGATTTTGGAAT